TGAGTAAAGTCAGATCCTATTTACGCTGGGGGAGAGGGTAGTTCGTCTGAAAGTTGGCCGCTGTATTTAAACACTACGCGGGTTGGGGAGATCGATTTGGCTGTGAGGGCGACTCTGACCAGAGTCCACTCCGTGTCGGAGTGGGAATGGCGAGGGTCATACAGTCCCGGTACAAGTCACTCTTCAGCCATATGTGAGGGACATTTGACAAACATTACTAAGCCCTGGAGGCAGCGTGTCTCTTCAGTGTTGTCGGCACTGTGTTTAATTCATATTGACCACAGTGTCCCCCACCTCCTCTTCCTTTTTTTTCTCCTCTTTGCAGTATCAACATGCTGAAACTCCCAGAATACCCAAGCCAGGACGTCCTGAGAGACCGTCTGCTGGTAGCACTGCATTGTGGGAGCTACGGGTACACCATGGCGTAAACATCATATCAGTTCCTGCTGCTGTGAGGGTCTGCAGACTCATGCAACACCCCCTCCTCCTCGTGTTGTAGTTAGGCGCTGCTTTTGTTGGACAAAGAAGGGAAATCTAGATTCTTCTTAATGAGCTGCTGGAGAGGCACGACAGGTTCTGGATGTCCTTTTATACCTGTGCTAGAAATTGTAGCTGGTACCTAGTAATTTATGCAAATAAGGATTTCATATCTTTAAATTTGACAGTTTTCATGCATTTATGTAAGAAAAACCAGCATTCACATGAATCCTCTAGTTAAAACGCAGGATAATAATCACAATAAAACATATTCACGTAAGTTTGCTGAATGTCAAATATCAGTTCTGTTTACGGAGCTTTCCGTAAGGAACCAGTGAAGAGTTGATCGGTTTCAGACATGCAATCAATGAAATTGCATGACATCCATATCCCAGGTTCACATACCAGAAAACTGGTATAATAGAACAAATCTAAACTTTGTTTTTGTCTCAGTTTACATTTTAACAATTTTACCAGTCGTTACGGTCTTTGGGCTCAGAAGCTCTAGTCTGAATTACCAAAACCACTTGCTGTCAGGATCCACAAGGGTATCAACCATTAGTGACTTAAGCTGTCCCTTTACAACATTCAAAACTAGTTAGTAGTAGAAGTTACTTAGCCTAGCTTGCTAAATTTAGCACTGATTCCCATTGCACTTTTTCATCAAGTTATTTTGAACCACACTCACTGTGGTGTCAATCTACTGTTGGCTGTCTGATTTTCATCGTTTCAAGATGTGGTGATGACAAATGACCTGGGGTCTCATTCATAAAACTGTGCGTAGAAATCTCACTAAAAGTACGTGCGGCCAAAAGCCAAAAATGGCGTTCGTCAAAAACTATTCAGACTTGTAAAACCGTGCGTACACACACTTGTAAGCAAGTTCCCTTTATGAATCACAATCAACTTGAAATGTGAGGGAGCTCCATGTCCGACCCTTCAAACGCCCATAGTTGCCTATAAATGGTCAGTGAAACGCCGCTCATTAATATTAATACGTCCTGACTGCAGGAAGAAAAGGAGGCAAATTCTGACAGAGAAGTTACAAAACGAAATTTAACTAAAATATGACGCCGATGTACCGTTTGGTGGGTAAAAAAAACGCACTTTCACGCAACGCTTATGCACCGGAGGAAAGAGGGCATCGGAGCTCCACCCCTTTATAACCGATCTGCAGGAAAGGGCCTCCATCCTGAGTAGAGACGTCACTGGCTGGAGGGGGGGACACAGTCGGGATGAGCCAGGTACTAATCTGGATTCCCCCCCGTTTGAAAAGAGATTAAACCAAATGCATTCCGCTTGTGTTTAAACATTTATTTAGGCTCCACAAACAGTCCACTCACTTAAAGAGGCTGCTGATGAGTTAAAAGAAAACTAACTTTTAATACTATAGTGTTATATTTTCCATAATGTGTTTTTACAAGCGGCGCATCACATCCACACGCTGGCGCACGGCGTTTGGCTCGATAAGGCAACATGTGATAATATGAAACTTTGCACTCTTATTTGCTTGACTGACGCGCTGAAAACAATTTAAATGTAACTTTTCCTCCTGCTCACCTTATTTCTGAGAATGAATTGCACTGCATGCAAGTATTAATTAATATGATTCCTGATTAAACTGTCCAACATATTTGAGGCGTTCTTTTGCAGAAACAGAATCTCAGTTTGTGTTTATGATCCTAAATCTGGATCTTTTTTGCTGCAAAGGATCTTAAATTATGTGGGGTTTTTGCAGACTTCAGGGAGAATCAATCAAACGGCTGTTTGTTTATTCAGCTTTAAGCCTACAATACTCAGAGGTAATATTTGGATTTATTTCACACAACAGTAGGCCTCTTCATTTCAGTTTCATCCTTCTGCCATGTGAGTCACCGTTTCTCTTTTCTCTTTAAGTGCGTACGCATGGTTCAGAGTTTACTTACGGGACGCACATTCTCCCGTTAAGTTTGTTTTTTATAGATCACAACCTTTGCCTGGGAAGTGGCGTCTGCACGTTTCAGCCCTGTTTTGTACGTACGCACCGTTTATAAACGAGACCCCTGAGCAGTTACTCTGGGAGAGCAAATCTGGCTGTTGGGCTGATGGAGTTGAAGTGAAAACTATTTTTTGTGCCCTCGCTGGGCTACAAATGGACACACTATGTGTGATTTATGCTAAATGGTTAGATATAGACGGTGAATACCAAAATGAGGAGTGCCATCACTACCGGAAAATAGGTAAAACTATATATTTTTCTTCTGGGTCAGTACAGTTTTGACCAAATAAGTAAACGCCAAGGACAAACATTTATTCATTTATTAGCAGAAATCAGTTGTAATGTGTAAGAATATCTAAGACTGGACTTCTAGCTGTCATGAAGTGTTGGCAGTATCTCTACTGCCAACACTTCATAATTTCTTCTACCTGCAGACTAAATACATCGATTCTTTTCCCCTTTGTCTACATAGCTGCATGAACACGCCCCTCCATCGCTGTAGCATAAAATGCATGTGTCATGTGGTTCACTATGTAAAATTCTGCGCCTTTTTCTGCTGTCGTCTATATTTGTGCTTCATGAATGAACGGCAATCTAGTTTATAACCTTTTTGTTCGTATTTGTAGACTTTTACAGTGAGCAATACAAGATTATCTACGTGACAAATGTTCGGCTCGCAGTGCCAAAAAAAGACAAAGCAGGAATCCTTTTAAATACATTTTTTATTATTATTATTATTACTTTATCTACACAAGCATGCTGACAATGTGTTTTTATTGTAAAAGGGATGGAAGTTTTCCTTCTTTCCTTTTATAAAAGAAGTGTATATACAGTAATTGATTCAATATTTCATATTCAGAATGCCTCGCCTGAAATGCTTTTTGTAAACTGTTGGTAATGTTTATTGAAAAAAAAAATGGAACTGTCTTCAGTATCAAATTATGTATTTTACCATAAATATGTTGTGTTTTGAGATTTTATTCAATAAAAATTGTTTTGACCATGCAGGTGATTTGGTAGTCATGCCAGCGAGCTGCAGAGGAAAACGTGTCTCCTGTTTGTGCAGGGATGGAAAAGCAGCGAGTCCAGCTGCAGCCTACTGTCGCACCAGCAGACCGAACCAACCTAACATGGCTTTTTGAACCATTTTGATACCAGTACAGAAAACTTCTACCACAGGGCCAGTAAGAGAGACATTAAGAGGTACGTGCACTGTTTCAACAGCCAGCAACTCCGCTTTGGTCGAAATAAGCAGCCAGAATTTTAGCTTAAAACACTCAAATAATTATCAACAAAGTATGAAGGGGTTTCCCCCCTTTCTGGTTTATTTATCCCCGCCTCTGCTGAATATTTTCTATTCCCCCCCTCAGACTGATCAATGCTACTTCACTAGTGATGCAGCTGATCACAAAACTCACAGATCAATTTGTTAAAATACGGTTTAAAAAAAAAAAACTTTGGCTCTAATCAAAAAAAATCGCACCCTGCAAGCACGTATATGCGTGGAGTTGCAGAGATATCTACTTCAGTATGCTAATGAGCCAGCCCAGCCTGTCCTCACTTTTCACACCATCTTTACTTAGCCCCGAACATCACAATGGTACAAATGTCAGACCAAATGAAAGAATGAAGTCTTGGGCAGAAGTTTTGTATTCATTATGTCTTCTATCTAATCTCATTATGGAGTTGTAGACTGTTGAATAGAGAGTGTGCACTTGTGACAAGTTGCCCCATCGGCAGGTAAGTTGTCACACTGGATTATCAAACAGTTAGAACACTTAATTGTGAATATTGATTTCAATTTCAAATTGTAACCAGAACTAAAAGTAAAATCAATCAACAATCAAGCCTAGAGAATTTGGAAAATAAATAATTTAATTCAAAACAAATGCTCACATTAACATCTTTCTTTGAACTTTAAAATCAAACGTCCTCTGGAGTGCAAATAGATGTATGGTAACTGAATTTAATGCTGCAGATAACTTAAATGTATAACGTCTTAACTAAACAGATGTGACTAATGCAACAATGTGCATTTCTGTATCTGACTAATCAGACGTGTTTAGAGTCTCAGTTCTGGCACACATAAATTGCCTGGCCTGAGGTGCAAACATCGCAGGCCCATTTGTAGCATTTCACACTTAATAGGGGAGAAAGTACCATTTTTCAGAAAAACGATTTTAAAAGTTAATGTTTCAGAGTGTGGTCCATCAATATCAGGTGGTATTTTGACTTTACCACGACTTCCGTATAATTTGGTGCAGGAAATTCTCTGCAGAACCGGGTGAGACTCCGACAGCAGAAACAGCTGATCAGTCGTGAGTTACAAGTTCGCTACGTACGAACTGATTCGGAAAAAGTCTTTCCGTCTCCCGTTTAGTGCGTTTACTCATTTGCTACAAAAACCATCTCAAGCAAGCGGGAAAACTTGTTTGCTAAAATAAGGACTTTTTCCCCTGCATTTTTCAGCAGACCTTTTTCTAATGTGATGCTTCAAAATGCGCAAATAAAAAACCTTGATGGAAACACGGCTACTGATACAATATGCAGATATTGATATTTTTATTAAATGGGTAAGGAGACAAAAAGACCTCAAACCCAACTGTCAGACAAAACCTTTGTGCAGTTCAAGTAAAATACAATACAGGTGTAGAAGACATGCTAAACGATCAGTCGGGTGTTTTCTTACTGCAACAAATCCCATGAAAAAACAACACAATGCGTTTGTCTCCCCAGTCTGTGATAGATTGTAACATGAACGGGTTTTCCTGTCTCATAGTATTCTGTCTGATAAGCCTTCAGACGTTATCAGCCACAATTCAGCGCGTTGAATTTTGTTTTTGACACAGCTGTTTTGTGAGGTGATGAGCAGAGGAATAAGCTACGATACTTTGGATAAACAGACGAGACTTACCTAATTCATTGTTGTTTTTCATGGGATATGTTTACAGTAACAAAAATATAGAATATCACCAGCGTTATCATTTAAAATTTATCGATTGACACTTGAGATCTTTTCTTATTTCTTATGTAGGCTGGACTGTACAGCTGTTTTCCAGACATCATTATTGCTGCACTGTTTTTTTCATATAAGCACAAAGGGAAATACAGCGAACTCTTGAACTGTAACTGTTAAATAAGGAAACTTCCTATATACATAATTTATTACAGACAGCTTATGAATGCAGTGGTGTTAAACAGCCAGATGTAAGCTGGATATAAGCCACTGTGGCAACAGTCAAACTCCCCCTAGACTAAGATGCTTTATACAAAATGATACGTCACTAACCAAAATTAGTCCACGATCATTGATAGAAAACCTGCAGGGTGACAAAGCAAAGCTTAAATAGTGAATCAAACAGTTAGTTAGCATTACTGACTCCGATCATAAGTAAGTTCAGCATTTGTGTTAAAGGCATGATTTCATATCAGATTTGACCTCGTGAAGCTCATGTTGGTGGAGATAGACGCTGTGTCAAGTCGCAGCAGAGTGGTGTGTTTTTGAGGGAGAACAGTACTTTTTGTTTGGCCAGTATTCAAGGAGGTTCAGGGGCCTGGTTGGCAGGTTATCCAGAGGGCAGGTCCCCCGCTGGGTCACACTCATCAGAACCCCTCCTTGTGCCAACGTCCTGCAGGCCAACCAATGACATATCGGGTTGGACGTCCTCCTCATCTGACTGCACCAGGGGATCGTCGCTCTCCTCACTGGCCACTTCTTCTTCTTGCTCGTCCTGGTTGGACCGTTGGTTGTCTGTGGGAGGGGCTTGGTTCATTTGGCTTCTCAACGATTCTGAAGAGTAAGACTTGAGGTCTGGACCTGATAGAGAAGACAACTCAATTTAAATGAGGTACAAAGCTTCACCGTCAGTAGACTAGTTATCACTTGGAGTTTTTCTTGGGATCAGGGCCCCCATTAACGTCTGTGTGGACTGCACTGTCCCAGCAAATACTGTCCACTGTTACTCAAACAAAGCGTGGGTAACAAAGGACATCCTGAATGCAAAGAGGCGGGCTTTTAGAGAGCTGAGGGTTACCTGAGGTCAGCGATGATCCAGTATCGCTGTCATCACCAGTGGAGTTGAGAAAGTCATCCAAAGCCTTCATGTCTGATTTGCTAGTTATTGTCATCTGATCGAGAACACACGGATCAGCTCCTGTTAGCTCTACAAACACACAAACACACTTAAATTTTCTTTAGGTCAATAATAGTCTTGCTAGTGACTTAAGCATCACGGCCAGTGCAGAGAAGCCAGAGCTTGAAAGCCCTCCCTGTTAAGGTTGTTGAGGTCTTCTGCTTGCTAGTGAAATATAACAACGGCGGGCCGACATTTCTCAGCAGTGATCGGGTTTGTTTCTGGCAACACGTCAAACTTGCTAACTCACTAATGGCGTCAGTCGAAGGAGAACGTCACTGCAACGAGGGAGAAAAACAAAAATGAGCCTTTCGGCATTTAAACAGACTTTTTTATCTGAGCAGGCCTTCAAGCTGGGACTGATGCTGCTCATAGACGGAATAAAAGAAGAAGAATGCTGCACTGTAATCCATATTGTTGTTGTAGTACGCGAGACCACTTTTTGATGGTCTTGGTCTCGTCTCAGACTCGACCGCCTTTGTACTCTGTCTTGTCTCGGTCATTGATTTGGGATTTTATTTCAAGACCAGTCAAGAACATAACTTTGGGAATATCAATAAATTGCTTTTGCGTTGTCTGATTTATTTGTTAACAAATGCAAATGCAACCAATAACCCTAATTAAAAATGTGTTGTTCCCGTTGACGACTGTCCCCCCTCCCCACGATGGTAAACATTGAAAAGGAGCGTTTAATAAAGATGTTTTCGCCTCTTAGTGTTTTTATGTGGACGTTTTTATGGGAATCTGGATCTTTCAGATCAGTTTGAGAAGAACCTATGATCACATTTTACTGTGTGTCATGTAACGTGGGGAACTGGTCTTGGTCTCGACTTGGTCTCGGTTATGGCGGTCTTGACTAGAACACTAATCCACACTATATATTTATTAGATATGTGGTGTTGTTTTGAGAATATTTTATTTAGTGGAGAACTTGTTAGTAGTTTGCAGCAGAATTTTATTTCTTTTTTTATTTTATATAATTTATTCATTATGTGTAATTTGGAAGTTGGTTTTTTTTTAAATTGTAAACTAATTTGGATGTTTACAGAAGTTCATAATAAACCAGCAGCAATTTAATGTTTCCCTTACTGTACCGAAAATAAACCGAGCCGTGACTTCAAAACCGAGGTACAACCCGAACCCAGATTTTTGTGTACCGTTACACCCCTAATGGACTCGTGATCATTTTGTTACTCCAATAAAAATGCACAAGTTGTAAAGTAAAGTCTTGAATTCATGCAAAGGAAGTGATGTCATATAATATTGTAATGTATGAAATTAATTGTTCTTATGCGATCTATATGTAGCTTTGGCAATACTGTTATACATCCATGCCAATAAAGCTGATTTGAATAGTGACTTACCTCTGTGCTGCAGGTATCCAGTGGACAAGTATTGCTTCACATCTTGGTTAAAAGCTTCTTCATAGACCTTCTGTCGTTCTCTCAGTTTCTGTTGCATGGCCTGCTCCAACTCTGCCATTTTCTGAGCATGCTCAGAATTGAGTTCCACTCCAAACAAAACACAAGTCATTTTTAAGAACACTCTCCATAGTGTTTCACATTTTACCATTAACAGTAGTATCAGTCAAAGCTGATGATACACGGGGCAACTTTTAGAGCAATGTTGCGGTACTTTACTCCCACACTGTGAATCATTTCACCGGTTCACATCTATCTAGTTTTAGGGGCATATGCATCTAAATTGGTTGCATTGAAGCCAATAAGAGTCTGAGCTGTATGTTTCATTGCCCTAAGTAGTTGACCTGTGTCTCACCTGGTTGCCCATTGATGGCAACATTACCCAGCAACATTGCGCTAAAAGTTGCCAATTGTATCATCAGCTTCAGTGTGTCGGTTGCTTGCAACAGGTTTACCATCATTCAGAAAGTTTATTCCAGTCACATATCACCATTTTGGCATAGGACACGGGAATGAAATTACACACTTCATCAACCAGTCAACCTAATTTACTACATGGGCGGTTTCTCAAAAGAAATTACTTGTTGACACCAGTTACTTAAACAAATGTCATGTTTTTTAGGTGTGCACCGATCGACTGGCTGGGAATGGGTCGGTTTTCAGCTTCATCGGGCAGATTACAGTAGTTGTGAGTAAAGTAATTTAGAGAATTTAGCAGAACAAAATGGTGAAATATGAAATAAGAAATAGCATAGGCTACTAAAAACTTTTTATTTTCAGATGTGTTTGAGTGAGAGAAGGTCCTGTAACCTGCTGCAGTTCATAGAGAATTCAAGTTATTTAATAGTCAGTGTTTTATAATGAACATACAGTTTAATGGATCACAGTCACAAAAGCTAATGGGGGTCCTAATAAAGATCATTTTCCAATAAATAAAAGTTATAAAATGGTTAAGTTTGTGCTGTCAATTACTGCCAAAATTGGAATGAATTATTATTTTTTTAAATAAAAAATGCGATCGGTGCTTCTCTACATGTTTTATTCAGGTTCCTTTTGTTTAATGCTATATTTTATTTCCATAGCTCCCTATGCCATTCATTGCAGCAAATACACAATAATAGATAAATTACAAAAGAACCAAATGCTTTGTCACACTGCCCACTGTAATTAGGTGGTAATGTAGTCAGTGCATTCATCACACATTTGTGTTACACACCAGTAATATCTGATGAAAGTACAGCAGCTCACCTTTCAGCGCCTCCACTTCCCTCCTGTTCAAGACAAATATCAGACAAGTTCACATTAAAACAGATATTTTAACATTATGTCATTATATTTATCTGACTAAACAAATTGTATCGTATTCCCTTGTCAGGGAGGGAGGAAGAAACACTAAGACAAGGAAGCCATGAAATGGTTCAGCCTCCTGTATAGACATACGTCGTCAATACAAATTAATAATAATAATAATAATAATAATAAGTAAATTAGCATGCCTGCAGAGAATTGAAAAGTTCTGCTTTTAAACGCTATACAATTCTTTGTGGGGTTCTTCAATAGTGATAAACGATCAGTATATATTTAATGAACTTTAAGAATCGTTATTATTACACTTAGTAAAAGCACCATTTCTGGAATTTCAGCAAAAACATGTTGCGTTAACTGCGTTCAAACAATGTGAACAGCAAAGTGTCAGAAAAGGAGCTTCATAAGTGGATTCATAATTCGGCAGAACAGATGTTGTGGGCTACCTGCCGAGATTTGCATCCACCTCTTTTCTCTGCATAAAAGAGCGTTACCTCCCACGTGGTGAATGCAATTCACGGCAGGCATGCAGAATTTGAGAACACGCACAACACCTGCGCTGTAAAACGTCAGTGGGAGAAAGATCCGATTATTGCAGTCCTGACGCAGTCTACCGGAGGTAGATTGTGTCCGACTTGACGGCGCTGTTTTTATTCCCCGCCCCTGCAGTCGCCTGCAGCTCACGTTAGACTAATAAGTCGGCGAAAGTCAGCCACAGTTATCTTGAACGCACCTGTTGACTACCAGTTATACAGCGTGCTAACTTTGACAGCTGTTTTTCTGAACTCACCAGGGAGTTAAACCTCCTCGCTTTCTTTTCTCCCAGTAATGTCCGATTTTTATATAAATATGAAGTCGTAGTCCAGCAGAACTCTGGTGCTAATTTAATAAAAGCAGGTAACTCTGAGCTCCTCCCGCGGGTAAACAGCATAGCTGTCAGAGCAGAATCCAGACCGACTACGGGGGTTTATCTGTCTGAAAGCTGCAGCGCTGCTCCCCGAACACTTTTCTTCTTTAGCAGCTCCCCGTCGGCCAGCGGATTGTCATTACACCGCTCGCCTGGTCCTCTCCAAACAGCGCTCCGAAGCAAAGCGAAATTTCCTGCAAGCAAATTCACAGGAATTTGCATCTTTGCATTGACTTTGTGTGTAATCAAGCCGCACAAAACGCTGGATTCGCTTTCGGTGTGAACGCACCTTTAGACATTGCAGAGCTAGTCTGCTAGAGTACCAGCATTAACCTGTGGATATCTACCAGTGAAAGTCAGCATTTAAACAGTAAATATTGCCTAAATATACTCAACTACAATCTCTAGTGTCACAAACAACCACGGTTTTTGGACTGAAAACAGCTAAAACAGCAAAAGTAGGCGAAAATCGATCTCGGGCAGGTACTTCTTTGTTTATGGCCTTAATTTTCACTAAACTGATTTTCTTTACCTTTTTTACCCGCAGACACCCTGTAAATTATGAAATGTGATCCAAGCAGGAAAAAACAAAAATGCAAAACAAAAAAAAAGCTTTAGTACCTGAGCTTAGTACATTTTTGACAACGGGTGTAAAGACAGTTCTATTGGTAACCAAAACGCATTAAGGAACAATAACAATCTCTACTCAAGAACGATTTTATTAAAATAAAAAGACAAAATTCAGCCTGACATCAGTGGCTAATCAGTGATATGCATCTCGTACCTCTTTTTTTTCTTATAGACTTCGAGTTGGTTGATATGATGCTGTTTGAATGTCTGCTGCTCACACTGACAACACAGAGTCTCCAGGTAGGCCAGTCTGCACTCCATCTCCTCAAACTCGCCTTCCAACTGAGCTGGAGACATAAACAAACACAAATCACAATCACTCAAAAAATATGTGCAATACATAAGTATTTGCAGAAGATGAGCATTATTTGATTATTTATCATCATCAACAAATAATCGTTAGAAGCTTTGAATACTAAAATCATCGTTAGCTGCAGCCCCAGTTGTGAGCTTGGTTTATTAATTAGCATCAAGGTGAAGAGACAGCTAATGCTAGCTGCTTAATTTAAAGTTAATTCTGCTACATTTTGAATCTAGAGATCTTCCTCAGAGAAAGACGCAGCTCTGTAAGATCACAAAGAATAAAAAGGGTCTTTTGCTGTTAAGCCAACAGGAGCTAAGCTAATAATTAAGTAATAATCTTAGTTGGTCGATTCAGGCTCATTCTGGCTTTGTTGTATTAAACAAAATGTGTCACTATGAAAAAATTCCTGACGTGAAATAAAAGTGTCAATGCCAAAATATCACTATGAAAAGGGGCAACAAACTCAAACCGCCTCCTTCCCCCCCAGGATTAAGCTCAGCATCATGGGTGATCTGGCTTTCTGTTCTGCTGCTCCCTGAACATCTGAAGGCACCTCACACTTCTGAGACTTTTAAAAAAAGGACTAAAAACCATTTCTTTTTAGCAGAACGCACGAGTTTTAATTAATTAACCCTGTAAGCTGTTGCATTACCTATTTGTATTTTATATTGATGTTTTTACCTTGCTTTTATGATCTTAACTGTAGCACTTTGAGATTTGCTTCAAATGTAAAGTGCACTACAAATAAAATGTATTATGATATTATTATGCAAATTTTTCAAGTTTCACTTGTATAATAATATATCGTGCAAAAGTTCATTTATTTCAGTAATTCAACTTAAAGGCTTGAAATATCTCACTTTGCATGTAATGAGTCTATATAATATATTAGTTTCACCTTTTATTTGATATAATTCTGATGATTATTGTTTACAGCTTATGAAAACCCCAAATTCAAAATCTCAGAAAATTAGAATATTGTGAAAAGGTTCAGTATTGTAGGCTCAAAGTGTCCCACTCTAATCAGCTAATTAATCCAAAACACCTGCAAAGGGTTCCTGAGCCTTTAATTGGTCTCTCAGTCTGGAATTCACAATCATGGGGAAGACTGCTGAGTTTTTGTGTATTAATACTGAACATTTTGGGGTTCAATACCTATCCAAATACAGGATGTTAGTACTTCATCTGTCACTGTGAAGAAAAAACTATGCAGACACTCAGCGAGGTCCACTACCTGACATTATCGTTAACTTGTTTTTCCTGGGGAATGAAACAGTCTCCTTACCTATGTTAGCAGTGATGGCATCAAGCTCACTGATAAAGGCCGGCAAGCTTTGCAGTTGTTCCTGTAGTTCTGTCAGAACGGTTCTTCTCCTCTCCCAGTGTGCTGAGAGCATCACTATTTCCCCGTCTGCTGCCTAACACACACAGAAGGGTGGAGATGACACAGAGCAGAGGGGACAGCTGCTGTAAATATAAGCTGAAAGCAGCACAATCACCCGTAGCAAACTCACTGTTCACTTATTATATATTCGTTTAACTCTGTCTGTATAAACATAACAGCTTCAAAATAACGATGGGTTAGGGTTAAACCAGCCAATGACTGCAGGTCTTTTCCTTGCGAAGCTTCCACTGTAGCCTCACATGAGCTTATGTCACTGACGTTAAGCAACAACGAACACATCTGGGCGAGAAAGTCAGCTGATTAGAGGAAGGGTTGCGTATGACTGAAGCTTACTGCAGTTTGTGGAAACACCTACCACCAACCTCACAAATGGACTCTACTATGTTGCTTCTGTTGTATAGACAATGAAAGTCATGTCCATCTGTACTCAGCCATTATTGTTTCATGAGCATTACAATCTGGGTGACACTCGCCTGTTTTAGAGCTGCAACAAACAATTATTTTCACTATAAATGAATTAATTAATCTGCTGCTTACTTTCTCAATTAATCATTTGGTTTACAAAATGTAGGCTAAAAGTGAAAACTGCCCATCGCAACATGACTTGTTTACTACCGACAAGTCTAAATCCCAAAGATATTTAGTTTACATAAAAAGAGAAAAGCAACAGATACGATGCGATACACGGCTCACGATGATATCACGATACAGCAATTCTGTGATAATCGATATATCGCTCGACAATCCTAAAGTGATACATCACGATATCTGTCTAACTATTACTACAAAAGGTTTGCTATTTATTTGCTGCAAATCCAAACTGTTAGAAAACAGCACAATTCTGCGCAGTCTGTAAATAAAACTACAGAGCAACTGTGAAAAATTATCATCAAAACATTTGTTTATAAAAAAGGCACAAAATGCAAATTCACTAAATTTTTTACTGATAATACAAACTGCAGTGTTACCACCTAAGTCTAATCTGTACATCACATTATATTAATAACTGTTCAGTAGCACAGCGTTGTGCTGCCCTTTCTCTTCCTACCGATAGCTGTATTTTTAGTTTTAGGCCACTGGGAATATTGGGTTTGAGTTTTGACCCTTTGGGGTTGCTGTAGCTGTGGAGTAGCAGATTCAGCCAGTGAAGTTAGCAGCTCTTTTTTATTTCGTCACTCAGGATGTTCAGCATGTGAAGCAAAATGTGTAGTTTATGTTAGGATTGTATTTTCGCGATGCTAATGTCCGTTAGCACGTTAATGGAGATTCCTATTATATGTTAGCATTGAGCTAACCATAAAGCTGCAACTTTATGACTGGAATATTGACACAGTATCATGGAAAAATGTACAACGATGTATTGCCATATCGATTTATTGTCACATAAATCATAGACAAAATAAGGACTACATTTTTTTATCAAGATGTTTATTTTGTTGAGGAAAAAGGACTGATAAAAGCTTTTATTTAATTTGACTGGTACATATTTGATGACAAAGATTTTATCGTAATTGTTTGGAATGTTCTTTGTCAGATTTCGTTATTATTATTAAATCAGGTTTCTTCAACTTTCGCTCAGGAGCAAAAACCAGCCTTTAAACTCAAAAGAAATAACCGTTTGATACTTATCGTGATAATTATCGATATCGAAACATATGAAACTTTTTATCAACATTTTTGGCGGCCGTATCATCCGGCCCTACTTTGGATAAAAGCATTTGCCAAATGAGTAAATGCAAATATTAACAGTTCTTTAAATGGTTAACTCGTTATCAAAATTGTTGTGAATAAGCTTTCTGTTGACCAATGAATTCATCCTTTCAGCTCTATTTAAGGTTATTTCCTTATAAACTTGTGCAGGTGGGGACTCGCTCTCTCAAATATTAAGAGTTATATATAATATAAATCTAAGTTTCTCCATCACTTCACTGTAGGGCTGGGAGATACGGCCAAAAATGATTTCACGATAAAACCCATTTCATATCATTCAAGTATCACAACATACGTCAAATCGTTATTTCTTTCAAGTTTAAAGGCTGATTTTTGCTCCCGAGTGAAAATTGAAGAAACCGGACGGTTAATTATGAGGTAAAACTTTAAGGTCAGAATGTGACAAATACTTGATGCCAAGTCTGAGGCAGAACATTCAAAACTAATATCTTTTCCCAACAAAATAAAATATTTTAATGGAAAAATTAAGTGGTAATTTGTTTGTGATTAAAAAGAATTAAAGCAAATATTTATTGACGATATATTGAACATTTATTTTTATTGTTATTGAGGAAAATTATATTGCGATACTTATTTATTGTTTTATTGCCCAGCCCTATTTCACTGTAGCCTATGAACAGCCTACGCTGGTATCGCTACACTGGATTTTTTCTGGCTGCACCTTTAACACAGCAGAACAGAAGTACTGATCCTACCTCTGCAGCTTCAGCACAGTCTTTAGTTCTTTTATGGAGCAGAAACCAACTCTCCTCATACCTATACAGAAACACATTTTATTTACATAACCATCACATCATCCTCTAGATACATCAAAGCTGAGTGAAACTGAGACTGTGTGTGTGTGTGTGTATTTGCAGAAACCTGCTTAGGATTTCCAGTCCAGCGCTGAAATAAGTAAGGCTTTCTTCAAACCTGAACAACAAACAGAGCAGACAATGTTTTTAGCGCAGTCGCTTAGCAAATGAATGATGTTAAGAGTCCGATCCATGCAGGGAGAACAAGCTGCAGCTGGAAAACCTACCACCATCTAAGGTGTGGGAGTATTTGAGACAGAGACCAACAACGAGGTGCTCTCTGCTCATCGCCCCACGTTCAAGGTTCTGAACCGCTGATGTCAAGGTAACGTCATTTGTCTATTGAGTAAAACCACATTTTACCCGAACCATGAACGCAACGGCGGCCCGCCAGGTCGCATTGTAAGCGACGTTGGCTAAAGCAAAAGGCGTGTCTGTTATGCGGAGATCACCACAGAAAGACTTTAGAGGCGGTTGAGTGGGACGATTTTGGGGCTGGGGTGACGTTTTGTTTTTCCCTCCTTGACTGTGCAAAGAGCTGAACTTATTACGCATAACTATTCCCAAGAGTATTTTGTTTATTTCTGACTGTTTGATTTGTTTGTTGAAACCACACCCTGTTTTGTTGACAATATATTTTCTTTATTGTCACCAAAATTAATTTACTTGTGAGGGTATTCTGCCATATTACTGTGACGCAACGACTTGTCAAGTTCACCCTGGCTGGCGCCCAAATAAAAATACAATTAACTAAAAGTTTCGCCATTTTATATTTCCTGTTTACTTTAACGGCCACCTATGAGTGAGAAAATGGCTCAAACTAACGTTACATGCTTCCAGTGAAAAAGTTAGTCTGGAGTGCAAAGATGACCTTACTGAGTATTACTCAGCGTGATGAAACACAGAACAAAGTAGATCCGTGTCATAAACCATTTATGTGTTAAGCCAAGGTCTTCAGTAAAAACACTGATCTGAGGTCCAGTATTTTTCTGATCAGGTATCTGACAAATAGGGTCTGTTGTTCTATTTGTAACAGTGGCGTTTTCTCCCAGAGGCCAGGGGAAACCCGGCTTCCCTTATCAGACTATTTATCATTTTAATAAAAACACAATCTTTATAGTTTTGATAAATCTTATGAGCTGTTGCTGTCATCTGGTGAAACACTATATTGCACCACCGCAGCCTGACCTGCAGTCTGACTACACGAGGAGGCCAAGCAGAGCTGGCATCCCTTTGTGAAAAAAAATTAAATGATTAACCAATCAGATGAGGCCACTGTCACGCCACTGCCTCACTGTGATTACTCGGGCTTCACGCCAATCAAATCACAGCACGCGATCAACGTCATTCAGATGAAATAACGGGAGCTGTTAGCAGCTTTAGCGGCGCCTGGGGAGGAAAAAGGGGTTTCGGGGAACTTGGTTATTGACCCCTTAGCCGCCATGACAGACAGGAGAACGACCTTCCTTTTCAAATAGTTAAATGTCTCCGCCTTCTCAATCTGAACTTAACTGCAGCCGTGTGTGCGATTTTTGATGTGGTTATATTGTTTATTTTGCTTTGCTTGCCTGAATTTAACGTTAGCTGCGAATGAACAGTCCGCTGAAGTAACCTTATTGTTTCTACTGCGGTTGTGTACGCGTAGACACTGAGCTCCGGACAGCAGCCGCCACAGGGCACTGGGCCAGGTTAGCGTTACCTGAACAATACTCTGGTACTCGGTGGTTACACTTGAGTGATATGAACATTAGTTAAAATGGCAGCAGGTAAAGACTTAGTCAAAGTCTCTATCTCTGGGATGGATCTCCAATTCATTTAATATACCATTTATAAAGATTAAACATGACAATTAACTGTAATCTTCAACAAAAGCTGATTTAAAGATTTAAAATTTTACAGCAAATGTGTATCGCTTCCAAATATCGTACTAATCTGTACCCAGTTGATGATGAGAAGTAGGCTATTAATACAGGACACTTGATAAAATATTTTTAGATTTTATCCTGACTTGTTCCACTGCAGTTGCAGCTGAAATGAAGTTATTCTTAACACAACAGCATGACGTTCATACAGCGAGTCCGGCTGCCTCTGTCATTTTAGGGAGGAGATCTTAATTGAATAACTGCCAGTTTCTGACATTCAGCCCATCTGTAGGCTCTAACTGAATTATCCTAAATGTTTTCCCATATTTAGACTATTTGGACTATTTTCCGTGTCCAAAAAATATGGATGGGTGGGGGCTGATAATTCCAATCACTCTGTAGTTTTCTTTTTCACTCTCCGCTGGCTCCTTTTTTAGGACATGGACATGATGTGCAGCTGTACCTTTACATCTTAATCATATTACACATAAAAGAAGAGTCCATAAAATACAAAATAGAGAATTAGCCTACAATAAGAACACTGTGAAGATAATTACAAATTTAGTCAATGCAGCAGAAAAGAAGAGAAAACACCGGGATTTCTCTTGGTGGCCAGTCAGACTATGGCTGCGTCCGAAAAGTGAAAAAAAATCTCCTTTCCTAGCCACCTTTCCTTGACGGAAAACGTCATGAGGTCAAGGAAAGATGTGAAGGAGAATTCATAAGGACTGACAAAAAGAGGACCGCGGGGCTCAGAGAATCAGCTCTTTTCTAAGCGACCTAATTATGCGATGGCGGATGTTACTGACGTGACCTGCCGTGAGCAAACTACAATGTTCTAAAGATGGACTACAAAAAGCACATCTTTGACTCTGCGCCCCGTGTTGTTGTAATGCAGGCCATCTAAAGGTGGACAACACGGTGGAAATTATTACTTAATAACCAAGATAGCAAAAAGGCCTGTAGGGTACCAGTCACCACATAATGGAAAGGGTTGTCACATTGAGAATGCTTGCTCACACTCACCCTCCTGCCCACTTTTATCAACATGAATCACAATTATTGTTTGTAAAATAGGGGTGTAACGGTACACAAAAATCTGGGTTTGGTATGTACCTCGGTTTTGAAGTCACGGTTCAGTTTATTTTACAAATTACAATTTTTAAACAAACTTCCAAATTACACATAATAAATAAATTATATAAAATAAAAAACTGCTGCAAACTACTAACAAGTTCTCCACTAAATAAAATATTCTCAACACAACACCACATATAGCTAATATAATAAAAAATATATAATAATATGGATTACAGTGCAGCATTCTTCTTCTTTTATTCCGTCTATGAGCAGCATGAATCGCAGCATGAAGCTGCTCAGATAAAACAGTCTGAAGTCGGTTTAAACGCTGAAAGGTGTTTGCACTCTGCTCGTTATGTTGCAGTGACGTTCTCCTTCGTGTGACACCATTAGTGAGTTAGCAAGTTTGACGTGTGGCCAGAAACAAACCCGATCACTGCTGAGAAATGTCGGCCCGCTGCTTTCATCTTATCGACTTGTCCGTTGTTGTATTTCACTGAAACTGTGGAAACTGTTCCCAAACAGAAGACCTTAACAACAAGGGAGGGTCTTAAAGCTCTGGCTTCTCTGCTCTGGCCGTGATGCTTTAAGTGTAATTTATACTTCTGCGTTGAATCGCCTGACGTGCACCTCCTCAAACATGTAACGTCGAGTGATTGGTCGGCTGGGTAGCCTCGCAACACCTCCGAGCCGACAGGAAGTGGTCCATGCTTTGAAGTAACTTTTACTAGCGGCCAAAACGGCGTCTGTAACACGGTGGATCAATATATTTTACCGTCACAACCCGAGCAGAACGAGTGAAATACTCGTACTGTAAAGCCCTGTAGGGCAAACTTTAAATGGCGGGTCCACAAACAGCGATCCACATATCCTACTAATTCTGCTTTTAATCGTTACACTTTATTGAAATTTGGGATTCTGCTCGAAGAGTTTAACTTTTTTAGGGTGAGGTCATAAAATATAAACAGACATTTGCAGCTTCATTCAAAAACCTCAATTTAGTACAGCCCTATTATTATCATTATTCTAACGTGCTTTATGTGCGTCTTTTTCAGGATGATTGAATAAAATATTGAAATATCAATGAGACGTTTTAATATTTATTTCAACTGACTAATTGAAACAGGATTCATAGGATTAATCAGTTCAGCTGAATTGTCATTTTAGAACAAAGCACTATGGAAGAAAGTTTGACGTTAATATCTTTATGTCACGACAGGTTTCTGCTCACCTGGGTCGCCTCTTGGTTTTGGGGTCTCTTGATTTGTCTCCAAAGCTCTTGAAGCTGGAGGGTGGGAGGAAAGAGAGAGAGAGAGAAAAATAAAGACAAGTTGTCAATTCAGCAAGGATCCATCCTCTTCCCTTGTGTTTTACAATCCACATTTTTTCCATCTTAAATTGTACACGCTAGGACTTCCTGCTCTAAATCTGTCCATCCCTCTGCTGCTCTTCCAGGCAATTTTAATTAAACAGCAGCTCAAGCCTACTGGTTTTCAAACTAACCGGGTTGCCGTACGCGTCTGCGTGTTGTGTGCAGCAGCTGCCTCCATCCCCTGATTCATCACACGGTCACAAACATGTTCCTGGCGAGTTTCAAGTCGCATCTTTAATCTACTGCGGCGATCATGATTGTACGAGTGAGCACTACATTATATAGCCACATGCGGGAAAAAGAAATAAAAGAAAACAAGACTTTTCACAAAATCGCGTCAAGCTGGATTCGAACTCACCTGAGCAATAAGTAACACCCAGTTACACCAGTGCTCCATCTTACCTGCGAGCTAATCGAGCAATCACAGGTGTCTGATTCTGCACGTGTTATTGCAGTTTAATCTATATATTGCCAATTCATCACAAAATATATATACAGCAGGTCTAGAGACAGTTTAATATTATTTGCAGAGTATGACAACTGCTTTATTGAACGCAGATTACATTTCATTCACAGTCAACCTGAGCGGCAGGAAAGGAGATATTTGCTCAACAAATTTGAAACTTGAAATGTTAAAAAATGAGGGATTAGATATGATAATGCAGACTGTTTTTGTATGATAAGTGTCTTTGGTTCCAGTTCAACACAGTACTGGTCTAGTTTAATCTGATTTTATCATCATCATCTACAGACACCAAATAGTTAAATAAGCAAGGATATTGGAAGCATTGTATTAGATTTTAAGTCCACTGGGTTTTCTTTTTGACAAAACATTATAAATAGAATAAATGATTCACGGCTGCACTTCATGTTAGCATCATCACATGACCGTCAGCTGACAGCCATCAACAGCCAGCTAGCCTCCAACCTGACGCAGTTACAAATCACACCGACGAAATAACTAAATAAGTCGCCTGTTTAAACTCAGAGACGGTGAAATTGACGCCGTAACTTAAAAGCTGATGTTACAGAAGCAGAAGGAAGGATGTAGCTTATAGCGTCGGTTAGCTGCCGAAGCTAACATTAGCTGCTAATCACGTCTCTACGGTGGGAAGTTTTAACACGTCCATCATTTAGTAAAACGTTACGTTAACGTGTCGCGGACACTCTTGTAAAAGAGATTTTTAATCTCAAGAAGTTTTTTTTTTTTTGGTTAAATAAAGGTTTGAATGAAAGTTACATGTTGTTGTAAATTACACATCTAACGTTAAGCTAGTTAACCCTAAAACCTTCATTCTGTCAGCCGTCTCGGCTAAAGAAAGATGTCGGGGGGGGAAAAACAGACCGACCCCGTACTGAAATCCTGCTGGACCATGTGAAGTCTTTCTCTGAAGTTTTCAAACATGATTCCTCTCAGTTTCAGTTTTTCCCCCGAACTGGACTTTTCTCATCTGAAAACAACTTCTTCTTCTTCTTCTTCTGGTTTGACCAGCATTTAGGAGCATTACCGCCACCTACCGGACTGGAGTGTGGAACAGATTATATGTGCAGACTGAAAATCTATATCCTTTCAGTTAATCCCGTTTCTTTCAGATATTTAATGAGGTGCTTAGATATTCCCCATGCTTTATCCCCAAGGAGGTTCTCCACAGTGAACCTAAGCTCAGCTTTCTCTACAACTGCTGCTGTTCTCCTCCTCGCAGGAACCCAGACAAAGCACACAGTCCAGCCCTTGTGATATAATCTACACAGAGAGCTATGAATACTAAATACCAGATCCAGCCTACAGGACTTTACAGATTTAATACTGGTGAGCGCTGCCCAGCTATCTGATGCAATGATGCTTCTGCTTCTTCTTTGTCTTCTTAGTTAATGGAGGATTGCAAACAACTTTTAAGTGCATACCGCCACCTACTGCACTGGAGTGTGTAACATCATATCACTCAACCACAAACCCCAGTAAGGTGCTCTCATGTTCTGTTCACCAGCCCAGAGTGTCTTTAAGAAATTTAAATAATGCCTTCCTGGTGATTCTCCTCCTTCTGTTTTCAGATTCCATTCCCGCCCTGCCTCCTGAACCCAATCTTGAAATATCTGTCTTTCCAACTCAAACAATATGCAGGGCAAAATGACATGTTCAACATTTTCTTTAACCTCACAGTTTTCAATAAACCCCAATAAAAACAAGGTGCCATTCAGTCCTGTGTGATCTACTCTCGGTCTGGTCCTTTCGCTATCATTTTTATTACTGACAGACTTTTGTATTTTATAGTAACTTCTTCCTTTCCTGTCTTCCTCCCACCATTTCTGCCATATTTCAGTATCTTTCTCTTAATGGCTGCTCTTCCTTCTCCTAGAGGTATTTGAACTGTTATTTCCTTTTGTAATGCCTCTTTTGCTAGTTTATCCGCAATCTCATTTCCATTTACTCCCTCATGAGCTGGCACCCAACAAACCTGAACGTCTATCCCTCCCCGATGTAATCTTAACAAGCTGTGAAACATTTCTATCAGTAGGTCTGTTCTGACAGATGTCACTGACTGAATGCTTTTAATAACTGCATAATATCACCCTATCAGGTCTGACCTCTCCAACCCACTGTAAAGCTATGAGGACTGCCACTATTTCTGCTGTATATACGGATTGCCTATCTGATAATCGTTTTTAATTCTGGGATACACTCGCCTAAAGGATTATTAGGAACACCTGTTCAATTTCTCATTAATGCAATTATCTAATCAACCAATCAGATGGCAGTTGCTTCAATGCATTTAGGGGTGTGGTCCTGGTCAAGACAATCTCCTGAACTCCAAACTGAATGTCAGAATGGGAAAGAAAGGCGAGATTTTGTCCATTTTCAGGGAAAAGTCTGCTTTTATTCTCTGTAGCAGTGTGGCAAATCCTTCACCTCCATTTTGGAAAATGTTCTTCTTTGTACGGTGGAGTGACAGGTTCCTCCTGCCCCTTCTCCACACTCGTTTACCCAAATGTCCAGTTGGTCAGTGCTTCGGTTACCATGGTTGTCAATTATGTAATTAATATGAAGAGAAGTCAGTACTGGAGATATCAGAGGATCTCGTTCCTTTTTGCTGTTAGCTGAACCCATTTCCTTTGTTTAGTTCTTAAATCCCAAATTACCCAAATGTAGTAAAAATGTCTCTTTTCTCTTTCGGTTTTTAACTTTGGAATTAATTTGCTGTTTTGAATTTGGTCCACCTAAGAATGCTGTGGTCTAATACGAATGGTGGTTTGTCCTGAGTTGTTTAACACATCTAGATGTAAATACCAGGAAATGAGAGCTTAAATTCTGAACTCTTGTCTCATCTTTTGATCTTAAACCCAAACGTCTTCAGTGAACAACAAAAACAAAGAAATTTGCCTCACCGTTCCAATACTTTTGCAGGGGATTGTCCGTGGCAAACAAAGAAATACACTTAGGAAAGACAGACAGCTTTCACATTAGCTTGTTTGTAACAAATAAGCTCTGTGCTGAGCAGATTAAAACATCGGTTTCTACATATTTAAGCTTATTAAACAGGTGTATTGGTAAAGTATTGGCTTTTTACTCACAAAGGTTTAATTGCACCACTTACTTGCACTAAAGAGCGTATATGTCGTCAACGTCTGCAATGTTCACTGATCTGCTGGCTGACTTCACTTTGCAGAGACACAGAGGAGGTGAGCGGCTGCAGGTCGGGCAGCCCTCGTTGTTGATTGGCAGTGATCAGTACTGAGAATGTGATAGGAAGAAACAAAATAGCTCACTCGTTAGCTACTTCCATACATCATACTGTATATGTAGTTTACTTTTGTTGTCATATATATTAGATTATGTGTGCTGGGCCACATGGAGGTTGCTTCGGGGCCTGATGTGGCCCGCGGGCCGCCAATTGAATAGGGCTGCTTTAAGGCTTACAGCTAAGTTTTACTGGTTACTTTCAATGGTACTTTTCATTTGCCAATAAGGTACAGTACTCTCCATAATTAATTACAACTATTCCTGTTGCTATGTCTGATTTATGAAGGAAAGCAGAAAAAAAAGGCTCATCCAAGCTCGGCAGTGTTTCTGTTTTTAGATGTAGTCAGACCAAAATTCGTGTTGTGAAATCTACTCACATGGTGTGGCCAAAAGCAGGGGAGACAGAAAGCAGCGTGGGTAGGGCTGTAAACATGAACTGTGGGAGCTTGCATGGCTTGCAAGTCAATAACAACAGTCCACAAAGTTGTTATACAGCATTATATAAACCTCTGCAACCAAACAGAATCCTTTTTCTCTGAAACACATCTAAAATATTTCCATTTGATGGAATGGTGGAGTTTCACTCATACTGTCTAAATCACTCCACATTTGCTACCTCAGTGCACTATATTTAATTGCCTCTATTTTGTTAGATTTCTGTATTCTCGTTCGAGTGATTCTCAGTGTGTGGAAGGATCCATCTCCTCCAGAGTTTAACAGGTGGAAAGAAAATATGCTGAAAATTGTGTCATATGAAAAATTCTTGGCCAGGATTAATGATGATATGGAGGGTTTTGACAAATCTTGGGGATGGGTTTTTGACTGAGATTGATGAATTTTTTATTAGTGCGGTTCTCTTTTGTTAAATCTGTTATTTTTGTGGTGTTGCATGTATATAGGCACTTTATAATTAAATTTTATTGAGTCTTTTTTGTGTCTGTCTGTAGTGGTTATTGATAATGGGCCCAAAATGCAAATGTGAATTAATCATGTGTTTGGAAGCTGTTTTTGTTTTTGTTTTGTTAAAAATGTTAAAAATAAAGACTTCAATTACAAAAAAGATTTCTGTATTGTCAGTATTAAATATATTATGTAGTGCCCTAAAAAAATTCACTCAATGGAAAAAAAAATGTATGTACACAATATTTTAACAGTCCCGCAATGCAAATTACATTCACATGAATATGTCTCATAAGTGTGTGAAATCCCATTTTACTGCTCACTAAAAAGTAAACTATTGAGTGTTTATCATTATGTTGTGAATAATTAATGACAAAAATCACTTTATTTCAAACACAGCATCACTGTAAACATCATCAAGCATCAGCTTCAATAAAGAGCTGAAACACGCTGACAGGATATATAGAGGGAAAAGACAAGTATACAAGTTCAACATCTTTGACAAAAATGTATGTAGATTTACACAACTCAAGAATATACAGGGAAGAAAGAAGACTAAATGCAGATAATAGCAGATAAATATAAAAAGTGATTTTATTGAAAATTCTCATTCAAATCACTCACATTTATACCAACTTTTTTACAGTTACCTTAAATATTTGTCTTTTCATGTATCAAATGTCATAATGTTTCCTTTGGGCTGAAGGAGTTTACTCGTCTTACTGAAAAATACATAGTGACAGACGGAGATATAACAAAACAAACAAAACAACTTCGACAACACTTTAAAGTTGCATTAACCAACATGAGATAACAAATTCAGGAATAATAACATGAATTCACCCACAAAAGGTCTAAGGTTCCTTAATGAAACAACCTTGGAATATAAAGAGTGAGAATAAGTGAGTTGTTCAATAAAGATAGATTGTCCACACTATATGCAGTGATTTTCTGCCTGTACCTACTTAGCTTGCCAACGTGATAGCTAGCTCTGTAATTAATGATCAATAATGAGTACAGGGTACTTTGCATAGCAGAAAGCAATAAACACTTATGAAGGAGACATTTGACATTTCATGGCATAATAATTGTAGTAAACAATTAATTTTACGCTTTGTGGAAAACCATTGTCAGTGTTGTGGAACCATAAAGCTATGCTTTGCATTCATTTGGAAAGAGCTTTAACTTTACAGTGGAAGTGAAAGTGTAATCTATTAAAGTATTCTGCTCATTTTAAGGTTCCTCATCTTATTTAGAGGTTGTACCAGAACCGGTTTCCATGGTTATATTTTTGTCATACTGCACATTGCTGCAGCTCCTCTTTTCAGCCTGTGTTGAAGGCTTCGTTTTAGCTATGGAGTGATACATCTTGTCTCTAAATGATCTTTGTTGGGAGCTGCACATGCTCAGTTCCTAGTTAAGGTCTACTAGCCAATCAGAAGCAGAGAAGGGCGGGTCAGCGAGAAGCCGGTAAACGGCTCGGGTTCAGCCGTACGTGTTGCCGACCGGCTCGGCAACATGGACTGGAGCGAGAGTTTCAGAGCGGTGAGTTATTAATCTGTATCCATAAAGTTTTAACTGAGCTCTGTCTCTACATCACAGGAACAACTTTATGTCCACTGACTGCCTGGAGGGTAGCTAGTGTTTGGAAGGGAGAGGAGAGCTGTGTGCTGCAGCTCGCTGTTTCTGAGGGCGTGTCGGAGTCGCCGCTTGGCGAGCGTTATGTGAGGCGCGTTTAGCTTTCATCCCTGTGACGTCACGAAGCGGCTGGACTACAAACGAGCTGTTTTCAGGCAGAGCAGAGTTTTCTGTGGGAGATGGGAACCCCCTTTGGGATTTTTCACTTTGCAAACCTGTTACATGCACAAAAAAGGAATATAACTCAATAAAGGAGAGGGGAAAAGCCAAAAAGCAGAATACCACGTCTTTAGTAAAGGAAAATATATTTAAAACTGAGTGAGTACTAAGGGCAGTTTTCTGCACTTCTTCTATAAACCAGACACTCACATTAATGAATAATGGCGGTAGTTGATTTATTAAAGTTCTGTAGTTACAATAGGTCATAATATGAAATAATAATGAATAATATAAATTTACTCAAGCCTTTATTCATAACTTAGTTTAACATGTGTTTGTCATAAATTACCACACTGACCTGTGATTGGGACGGATAAAATATATCCTATGGAATTAAGTATGGATGGAGAATAAACTTATTTACAAATGCATTTGTAAATTATTTAGTTAAAGCCTCAACATGTGGAAAAAGTTTTATTTATTTTTATTAACAATTAACAGTTCTGATGGAAAGTTTGAAAAAACAAAACTAAGCACAGCGTAGTCCATTGTTGATTCCCCACAGTGGCTTTTATACTTACTTGACTATTGATTTTAGACAGACTTCAAATAATCCCACCTACCCAATTAATTGAGAATTTTAGGTGTTGTTAAGGCTGTGTTATTTATCATGACAACCTTAGAAGATTATATCTGTTTAATTTAAATGGCAGTGGTTAGGTTAATTCTAAGGACTGTATTGTAACCTGTCTTCCTAAGAAGCCCCAGAACTAAGCTACTGAAAACTGTTTAGCAGCCTGACTCAAGTTAAACTTTGTGCTTTGATAAAACCAGTGCTTTTGCCGAATGAATATAATAATACAAAAATATCAAGCTACTATTTCAGAGACATCAAGGAAGTATCTGAAATTAGTGACTTTTCACTACACAGTCAAATATATGACTAACATATCTGCCATTATGCCGTATTTTACTTTAAAAGAATTAAAACGATCCTACATACATTTACAAATGTACAGAACAGTACATAGCCACTGTGTCACAGCCCAACCAGCTAACAACCATCATCATGCTGTATCCAGTTATGCAATGTTGTTATAAATATTTTCTCTTCAACATTAATTCTTAATATAGCAAATAATGAATATTTGAACGTTTTCAGATGTAGCTCAGGTGTTAGTTAGCGCTTCAGAAGTATTCTAGGGCTGGTCCTGGTCTTAATGGCTGAGGTAGAAGACTTGGTCTGGGAAAGGCCCTTGGAAGTGCTACAATAGCTGCAGACAGGTGCACTGTCCTTTGTCAAGTCCTCTGTGGTACGCTTGGAAGAGTGTTTTGCAGCACCTTTGGAATTATGGATACAGTAACTGCTAGCTGCTGAAGTACACTTCCTAATGTCCTTGCTAGTATCTTTGTTGGTACCCTTTGCAGTGTGACTGACAAAATAACTGTCTGGAGAGTCAGTGTGTACATGTGTAGAGTTGGAAGAAGCTTTAGTTGCAGTAATCCTGGTAGTAGGAGCTCTGGCAACAGTCCTCGAATGAATAGTCCTGGTAACTGGCTTAGGGATTGTGGATGAAGCCGGCTGATTTGGATTCAGGATCCTTTTTTTTCTCACATGTCTGCATATCGCCTCACTGATAGGACTGAGGTCATAGTCTGTGATGATGTTGGTAAAGCTGACACTTTCTTGAGAGGGCTCCAGAGCATCGACACTTGCCAAACTGTCTTCACTAATGCAACTACCCCTCTCTAGTATCACCTCTCCAACATGGCCACATCTGTCTTGTCTAAGTTCTTCTTCATGGCTGCCAGTTATTTTACCTACATGTCTCCCATCCTGCGGTCTAACATCTTTATCACAGTTGGCCGCCTTCTGCGGGGTCTCACCAATTTTGCAGTCCCTTGCCAATAAGACATCGACATCACTGTATCGCAGTGCCCCGCATTTCTTTGATGAGTTGTTGTCCAAAGGAACGCCATTCAGAGGGGTAGGGCTGGTGTCTGGTGGAAGGCCTCGCCTCCTTCTGGACAACCTCAGGACCACAGGATTCTCACTTAGCTGTCTGATGACTGACTCATTAGTCAATGATATCTGAGCTGGAGTCCTGCTTGAATTTCTTCCTGAGTTCTGGAGACTATCAAAGGACTTGGGGTCGCTATAGTAGTTGGACACTGCTCGGTGGTGGAGAGGAAGGTGCTGATTGCGAGGCAGCTGGTGGTTGTTATGCCGGGAGAGGTGTTCCTGGGGTCTGCTTTGGGGATGGCCTCTTAGTTTACAGGTATTGCTTGGCCTTGTGCAGGGCCCGGGGGATTGTCCGCTGCCAACCCCTGTGCTAGGCTTTAAGGGATGGACTGACCTGACACAGGAGGTTCTTTGTTCAGTAGTCACCATGGCAACCTGCAACAGAAAGAAATGATGGTAGCTCGTATTAAAGGTTCAGTCAGTGTGTAATATTTCTGAGGATTTATCGACAGAAATGCAATATAAGATCCATAAATATGTTTTCGGCGGTGTGTAAAGTATAAAGACCTTACATAATAACCCCGTTATGTTTCTATTACTTTAGAATGAACCATTTCTAGCTACATAACCGCGGGTCACCCTGACATGGAGGTCACCATGTTGCGTCGCCATGTTTCTACAGTAGCCGAAAACAGACAAATGACGCTACAGAGCGCGTTTCGTCACTACGTTGTTCTTTTTCTTCTTGTATAATTCCGGCAGTGTAGAGGCCCGTCACTACGTTGAAGAAGAACAAGAGGAAACAATATTAATAACAAACTGTCTCGGGTTTATTAGAAGTAATAGAGAAGTGAAATTTGGACAAATGGAGGAACACACGTATTCTTGAGCACGAGCCGACAGCGTGTGGATCTTTGTCGTCAAAGAAGCGAAAACACGATGAAGCCAGACGAAGTCGAGACAGATGACGGCAGAAATCAAGGATTGAATTGTTGTGGATTTTCCCAGATGGAAGGCTCTGATGTGGTACAAATGTTACTAAAGTAGCGCAGACTGTTTCCTGCTGGATAGGTAATTAAGTTAGTCCAACTTTAGCAATGCAAATGAAAAACTGTCATTTGATAGCTTTAGCTAGAAGCTGGCCATAATCACCACAGCTAGTTGGCTAGCTAGCTGGCAGCCTTCGTGTCGCTGTGCATTACCACCACCACTCCATTAGATGGCACTGTCACAATAGAACTACGGTCCTAGAACTGAGGTCCCCGGATTGCGGGGGTCCTGAAACTGCAGCCTCCGGTACTGCAGCTACATAATATTGACAAGAACACCCCAAAAGTAGTCACTCCCTGTTGCCAGTAGGTGGTGCTATGACTACGACTGTATAAGATTGTAGTGTTCAGGCCAGGACTCTTAGCAAACTTGCAAAGTCTTGTGCAGATTTGAGCCTGTACATTGAAGTTACAACAACTTCCGGTTTCTCGGCAACTCATTGATTTTCATCGGCAAGGGGAAACTGTTCAACAAAAATACACAGACTGTACAACTTTTAATTGTCAGTGGATTTAGAATAGACATCAAAAATTAAAGTCGATCTGACTAATTCCTTAGCAGAAGTTTGTTAAAGCACTTTTGAAAATCCTGTAGCGCCACCAACAGGTAAAAGAATGCATAACATTCTCCATTTGGTTAAAATGCCCTTAATTGGATTAATTTTTTGGATCTGAAGGGCAACATGTTAACCTCTGGACTACTAAGACGTATTGCTTTAGTAGTGTTGTTAGCCTTTTCATTTCATCTTGTGTGCTGACATAACATGAAATACCTCCAAAGCACCAATAGAGGGCAACTGATGACCAAAAATGCCCGTCACAGCACTGTTTTGCTTATAAATATAATAAATTTTATAGTTATAAATCATCTTTAGTTTGTCGGTGTCATTAAGTTCAAACACCATACAGGTGTTTAAATTTTAAAGCAATTGTCACTGTTGGCGGAGGTGCCACAATGTGCATTTGCCACAAAAATTAAGCTCCAACCCTAATAAAATTAATGCTTTAGAGAATGAAGAGTCTTAGAGTAACTGCAAACAACTAATCGACAAGAATAAACAATTAAAGGAAAAATCTGATCTAATAAAATGTACAAAACAACTCTGCTATGGACTGACCATAGGAAAAATATGATATAGGACTAACAGAACCTCTCTCATTTGCAGGTATACATTGGCTGATTTTTAAAACCATCAGAGGAGCATATTCTATTAATCTCTTGATCTCAAGTGGGTGATTTTGTACTAATCAAATCTCCGTGTGAGCTCTCTTTATGTCCCGGGTGAAAACATCCATTCCAAGGGCTACTGGTTACCAGAACAGCCATAACTGTTAAGGCCAGAGCAGAATGGAAACATGCCTCATGGTGCCAGTTTGACGCACCTGCTGGCCGCAAGGGGAGGGAGCATGTGGAACTTGCTTTTTTTTTCCTTCTTAATGATCGGATCAGGCCAGGATGGACCCGGCGGATCACAATACAAGTATGAGGGCTCTTGTGCTGAGCTGACCAAAATTGCCACAGCTTGCATGATACAATAAGAAAAGCTATGTTAAATGTCCTCTGACCTAAATACGGAAGCCTGGACTACCACTAGCACTTCTGTGCTCAGCAACAAAGTAAGACTGCATAAGACAAATGAATGAAAAGGCTAGCAGACTTTATCAGAAGGAAATGTTGTGATGACAAAATACACTAGCAGAGCTATTCAGAAAAGACTGACATCATGATTTCAACGGTTTAAATGTCCTACCCATAAACGATGTAAGACCGTTTTGTTGCACATTCAAAGTCATTCAATGATGGTGACTGACCCATGAGATAATTTGGATGAACTGGATAATTGAGGAATGGTAATTATCATTCTTCACCCATAAACATTAAAGCAATTAAAGCCGAAGCATCAATTTTAAGCAAAACAACTCACTGTGTTCAGCAATCTAAGTACAATAAAGTAAAGCAAAATATGTCAAAATATACCTAGATTAATGCACTCTACAATGTTTATTTTAATTTTATTCATCAAAGCAGATTGGGGAATTTTAGACAGGTATGATTTGGGTTGAAGCTCTTAGCGGCCATCGATTCAAATCTTTATTTTACTCCGTTATCTCGTGATCTCGAGATAACGACTGTTGTTTTCTCATGATAACAGGATAATTTTTTCGTGATAACGACTGTTGTTTTCTCGTGATAACGACTGTTGTTTTCTCGTGATAACGACTGTTGTTTTCTCGTGATAAAAGGATAATTTTTTCACGATACCAACTGTTTTGTTGTGATAACAGGATCATTATCTCGTGATCTCGAGATAATGACTGTTGTTTTCTCGTGATAACGACTGTTTTGTCGTGATAACAGGATCATTATCTCGTGATCTCGAGATAATGACTGTTGTTTTCTCGTGATACCGACTGTTGTTTTCTCGTGATAACAGGATCATTTTTTCATGATACCGACTGTTTTCTCGTGATCTCGAGATAACGACTGTTGTATTCTCGTGATAACAACTGTTGTTTTCTCGTGATAACAGGATAATTTTTTCGTGATACTGACTGTTTTCTCGTGATAACGACTGTTGTTTTTTCTCGTGATAACGACTGTTGTTTTCTCGTGATAACAGGATCATTTTTTCGTGATACCGACTGTTTTCTCGTGATAACAGGATCATTTTTTCGTGTTCTCGTGATAACGGGATAATTTTTTTGTGATACTGCCTGTTTTCTCGTGATAACGGGATCATTATCTCGTGATCTCGAGATAACGACTGTTGTTTTCTCATGATAACAGGATCATTTTTTCACGATACCGACTGTTTTGTCGTGATAACGGGATCATTATCTCGTGATCTCGAGATAACGACTGTTGTTTTCTTGTGATAACGACTGTTTTCTTGTGATAACGACCGTTGTTTTGTCGTGATAACGGGATCATTATCTCGTGATCTCGAGATAACGAATGTTGTTTTCTTGTGATAACGACTGTTGTTTTCTTGTGATAACGACCGTTGTTTTCTCGTGATAACGGGATCATTATCTCGTGATCTCGAGATAACGACTGTTGTTTTCTTGTGATAACGACTGTTGTTTTCTTGTGATAACGACTGTTTCTCGTGATAACGGGATCATTATCTCGTGATCTCGAGATAATGACTGTTTTCTCGTGATAACGACTGTTGTTTTCTCGTGATAACTGGATCATTATCTCGTGATCTCGAGATAACGACTGTTTTCTTGTGATAACGACCGTTGTTTTCTCGTGATAACAGGATCATTTTTTCGTGATACCGACTGTTTTCTCGTGATAACGACTGTTGTTTTCTCGTGATAACGACCATTGTTTTCTCGTGATAACGACTGTTGTTTTCTCGTGATAACGGGATCATTATCTCGTGATCTCGAGATAACGACTGTTTTCTTGTGATAACGACCGTTGTTTTCTCGTGATAACGACTGTTGTTTTCTCGTGATAACGACTGTTGTTTTCTCGTGATAATGACTGTTGTTTTCTCGTGATAACGGGATCATTATCTCGTGATCTCGAGATAACGACTGTTTTCTTGTGATAACGACCGTTGTTTTCTCGTGATAACAGGATCATTTTTTCGTGATACCGACTGTTTTCTCGTGATAACAGGATAATTTTTTCGTGATACCGACTGTTTTCTCGTAATAACGACTGTTGTTTTCTCGTGATAACAGGATAATTTTTTCGTGATACCGACTGTTTTCTCGTTATAACGGGGTCATTATCTTGTGATCTTGAGATAACGACTGTTTTCTTGTGATAACGACCGTTGTTTTCTCGTGATAACAGGATCATTTTTTCGTGATACCGACTGTTTTCTCGTGATAACGACTGTTGTTTTCTCGTGATAACAGGATCATTTTTTCGTGATACCGACTGTTTTCTTGTTATAACGGGATCATTATCTCGTGATCTCAAGATAACAACTGTTGTTTTCTCGTGATAACGACTGTTGTTTTCTCGTGATAACGGGATCATTATCTCGTGATCTCGAGATAACGACTGTTGTTTTCTCGTGATAACGGGATCATTATCTCGTGATCTCGAGATAACGACTGTTGTTTTCTCGTGATAACGACCATTGTTTTCTCGTGATAACGACTGTTGTTTTCTCGTGATAACGGGATCATTATCTCGTGATCTCGAGATAACGACTGTTTTCTCGTGATAACGACCGTTGTTTTCTCGTGATAACAGGATCATTTTTTCGTGATACCGACTGTTTTCTCGTGATAACAGGATCATTTTTTCGTGATACCGACTGTTTTCTCGTGATAACAGGATAATTTTTTCGTGATACCGACTGTTTTCTCGTGATAACGGGATCTTTTTCTCGTGATAACGACTGTTGTTTTCTCGTGATAACAGGATCTTTTTCTCGTGATAACGACTGTTGTTTTCTCGTGATAACGACTGTTGTTTTCTCGTGATAACGACTGTTGTTTTCTCGTGATAACAGGATCATTTTTTGGGATACCGACTGTTTTCTCGTGATAACGGGATCATTATCTCGTGATCTCGAGATAACGACTGTTGTATTCTCGTGATAACGGGATAATCTTTTTGTGATACTGCCTGTTTTCTCGTGATAACGGGATCATTATCTCGTGATCTCGAGATAACGACTGTTGTATTCTCGTGATAACGGGATAATCTTTTTGTGATACTGCCTGTTTTCTCGTGATAACGGGATCATTATCTCGTGATCTTGAGATAACGACTGTTGTTTTCTTGTGATAACGACCGTTGTTTTCTCGTGATAACGACTGTTGTTTTCTCGTGATAACGGGATCATTATCTCGTGATCTCGAGATAACGACTGTTTTCTTGTGATAACGACCGTTGTTTTCTCGTGATAACGACTGTTGTTTTCTCGTGATAACGGGATCATTATCTCATGATCTCGAGATAACGACTGTTGTTTTCTTGTGATAACGGGATCATTATCTCATGATCTCGAGATAACGACTGTTTTCTCGTGATAACGACCGTTGTTTTCTCGTGATAACGACCGTTTTTTTCTCGTGATAACAGGATCATTTTTTCGTGATATTGACTGTTTTCTCGTGATAACAGGATAATTATCTCGTTATCTCGAGATAACAACTGTGTTCACATGTTGTATTCTGGCGCTGTATGTAAGATTTATTCAACACTAGTTTCATAATGCTGATGATACAACCAGACACCTATCGGACAGAAAAGCATGTCGAAAGGATGATCAGACCTTTTGAGTCCTCCTGACCTGCAGGGAGAGGTGGCGAGGTCTCAGAAGGTGTCTCTCAGCTCCCTCTTTTCTGTCCTCCTGTATTTTCTCTCTTCTTCTCCTCCTCTGCTGTACCTCCTCTCTCCTCTCTCTCTTCCTCCTCCTCTGTGCCTGGGCAGTTAGAGAGAAGGAGCTGACCCCGGCAGAATTCTTAGGCCTCCCTCTCAGAGACCGAGAGTCCTGCTGCACTGTAGGATGGAAAGACCGACACAGAGGCCGAAAAAATTTAAGCAATTTATTGATGATTTGTTTAAGCAAAGAGAAAAATGCCAGTGAAACATTTTGCCTTTACTTAAAGTTGCCTCAATCATTACAGTTTGAAAGATTACACAAGACAGTAGATGAGCACCTGATGTCCCACTGAACATGCTTATGTTATTCAGCTCATCTCCAGTCCTGTGATTGGTGGAAAGACAGGAAGTACGATGCTGAGCGTCAGCTGGCTCCTTTGCCCGTCCATTTGCTAAAAAGGTCATGTTGCTAGGCAATGCTGCTGAACCTGAAGTGAAAGAGGAAATGCCTTCATTGATTTCGATGTGTGTGCAGCTGTGAGTGTGTGTGTATGTGGTGTGTGGACATTGAGCCTCTGCTAAGCCACGCCCCGAATACACAGCTGGCCAATCACAGCGCAGTATAGGACTCGCTCTGACTCAGTCCGAGTCTGACAGCTTGAATACAACCTTCAAATGTATAATGCAACTGCAAAACGGTCTGCTTCTTTCTGAGATGGCTTTTTACAACAAATTTGACAATATTTCTCCGGGAGTGCAGTAATAGACAGTGGTGGCGCCGACAGTTTGTCGGACTTAGCAACAGTAACTAAGGTGGGCGGGGCTTAGCGAAGGGTCAATTCCCAGACAAATAATTATTTCCAGATATCCCAACATGAAGTAGAAGGTAAGGCCTCTTCCTTAGCATAGACTGGATGGAACTCACCATCCTAAGGGTCTGTTATGCCCAGTGTCCGGCTTCCCTAGTACTGCCACTACTACCACCTCTCACCAGTACCCCCCTTTTCTCTTTTAGAATAATTGTCAGGGAAAGCAAGAGCAGACAGAGAATGGCTACCCCAAAGAACTACGTCTGGCATGCAGGTCAGTGGGGTGTACGTAGCGGCCTATCATGCATAGGCAGCTTCTGTGCTTGTAGTTTACCTCTCAAACAGAGAAAGGACAAGAAGTCCTCAGTCTTGGGCCGATGTCTGGTAGGACAGGGGACTACAGCCAGGGGGTGTGTGTGGTTACTTTGTGTTGATGTCATCAACACTGGTGGTCTTGGATTGCTGGTAGGGGACTGGGCAAACTTCCTCTGCGCCTGCAGCCTTGGTCTGAGCAGACATGCGCACGCACCCAGTCACAAACACACACACATTCAGTCACACCAATAGGTGTTTCTATTATTTTGTCCACCCCTCATAAATCAATGAGGGAAGGCTAAAGAACAGAAAAACCTTCCAAAAGTTGGAACAGTTGAAAACTGGATATTAGAACCTTCATGCAGGTCGGTTTTATTGCAGGGCTGTCAAATTAGACTGCATTTGTTACATATGGCTAGCAGTAAAAGTGGAATCTGTTCTTTTGTAGAATAGCACACTATCCTATTTCATCTGGGAGTTTTTTTTGCACCTACACATTTGGTATTTTCTTGCCTTCAAGCAAACCTGGTTACAAGGTAGGTGAAGTCGTACAGTTGAAGCTCTGTTTAGCCAGATCAGGCTGCACAATACAATTTGGGTACTGATTTTGGCAAGACATTGCCCTCTTACACCTTGTCCACACCAACTGCATAGCGAAAGCAGCATGTCAGCAGGGTAACAACGGGCTGCAATCTTCTATCAGTGTCTCACTGGATCTGTTCAGCTACTGTACTGCAGTATACTTCACACAGTTTGGAATAAAATGGGAAAAAAATGATTTGGGGCGTAGTTATTCACATAACGTGTGAGCTGCTGCAGACAGCAGACATACACTGAGTTTTAACCTTTGGAAGATTACATTTTATCATTTTAAGTTCACAAAAATTATAAATTTGTCTTAAGGTTCAAGGATGATTTTATTTGTATTATATTTTTTCCTAATTTGTTCATGTTATTGTTAATAATCATCAGCATGCATCAGTAAAATTACAACAATGTGAGAACGTTTCACACCACAGCAGACAGCAAACCTGAACACCAACAAACTGTATGTGAAAGCAGCCACAGCAGCAACACAGTCAACAACAGGAACAAATGCATGAGAAGAGAAGGAGATAAAGAGGAAGAGACGGCTCCTGGACGAGAGAGAGATGTGTCTCACAACCAGTTTATGATAGTTTCTAATAATGCAGCGCACTGAGCATCCAGACGTTCATAGAGAAGACATTAAAGGGAAAACAAAATGAAGCCCTCAGTTGGGTGGGAGAACTTTATACTGAGTGACGATAGCAGCAGTTATGGCATTTCTTAATTTTATCAAAACAGTACATTACAGATCAAAACAGTCAAATAGCCTACATTTAAAAGCTACCCAGTAAACTGTAGGCTACCACAAACAAACTAATTTAATTAATTAATTAACTAATTTAAATAATTCTATTAGGTCTATTGTAGAAGAAAAACATTTAGTAGGCTAAAAATTAAAGTTAAAAGGGGGATTTTGCATAATAACATGTTGTTACTTTCCACTACTGAAAATGGCACTCATCCTGTCTGCACTCCGTGTAAAATCTTTCCTTATTCTGCTCTGGACTCTGAGCTACGGTTCCCCCCTTGCTTTGCACAGCAGCCACCAACCCGGATCTGCACCATCTAGTCTTCCACTCTGCGTTGCATTTCCCGTCTCAATATCCCGTCCCTTCAACCCCTCAGTAAGTATTCCTGTTAACTCCAGTCTCCTCCCTCTCTTAAGCCTGGTTCACACTACATGATTTTTAGCCCGATTTGCCGCTCTGCGACCGTCAGGCTGTGATCGGTGGTAAATCAGCAGTCGTTATGTGTGAACTACTCAACGACGCATCGAAACAGCTCCCCGACACATTTCTGACACATCGCCGACGTCTGCCAGATATCCAGCACGCCAATTATGTGGAGGAGTCGGCCGACTAGACATCCACATCCAGCCAATGAGAGCAGGCAGCTACTTTTTCACTGCAAAACACTTTTTACTCCCCTCCATCTCTCTGTAGCTCAGATGATCCCTGCTACCTGCAGGTGCTGATCTATTCTTTCACCCAGATTCTTTGTCTTTATAAGTGGTATCTTTATAATAATAAACAACAGCTGTTTCATGTGTAGGTTTGCTCATTTCACATTTCACGTGTGTTTTCTTGAGAAAACGTGTTTAGAGACCAGCGTCGGGTGACACGGCTTCTGTCAGCTCGTGTAGTGTGTGACCCCCCGTCACCGATCAGTCACCTAGTGTGAACGCCACAACGACTTCAAGACTCCCAAGACTCACATGACGGAAAGTTGTGTAGTTTGAACGCACGGCCATCGGCCGACGCTGAAAGTCGTGTAGTCTGCATGAACCTTTAGTCATGCACTTGGGGGTCTGCTAGCCTAGACGTAACAAAGTTAAAACAAAGTGTTTTACTTTCTGTTCAGATTCTCCCTCGCTCATGTCATTTCCAGAACTTCTTGGACATTCATTCTTCTTCTGCTGTTCTGCTTTGATCTTTGAAATACATAGCTGTAGCTTGTGAAATGACAGCCTGCTTATCAACACACGTCTACACAGTCGGCACAAGGCGACCACTGAGCGGACCCCCAACCACCCCCATATCAAAGCTTTGATATTCTCTGTTAATTACTATCGAAGCTTCGTGGCTCAAAAATGACATTCGGGCCAGGCCTACTTCCCACACTCCCTCTCTCTCTCGCTCGTCCACATGAGCTTTCTTGCTCGACATTGACAAAACTTGCTTATCTTATTACAATTGTCCTCTGTCTTACGGCTTCAGCTGGAAAACCTCGACTAACAGTAGAACTGGTTTTGATGATTTTGAGGAGGAGGGATGTGTGCTGATGCAAAATCAAAGTGGTCCAATGACCCTCTTAGACTCTTCTTTGGGCTGTTCAGTTCATTTAGCAGCGCATTTAGTACTCTGCTTGATTGGTTTTTGTCATCTGATCAATAACATTGACAAAAGTGTGCACACTACTACATTACTAACATACTAATAAAATTGACCCCACAAAAACACCAGACTGATTGGATTAATGGTGTTAACTGTTCATAGGTGAGTCATGCATACCATCAAGTACGTGCAAACACGCATGCAAAAACACACATAGGAGGAGCTAACCTCTTGCTGGCAGGGTCCTCCTTGTCACGATGGATGTTAGCAGGGCGACACTTTTGAGGGCACATCTTTAATGACCAGCGCCAGGTCGGACTAGCTGACAGGTTCTGTGACTGACACCGGCTAATGCCATTAACCAGGGAGCCTTGAGAGAAAAGTGAACTTTAGTAATTTACAAGCAGTTTCACTACTTAAAAACTTACCTAAAATTATCTCAAAAGCAGCATAAACAAAACAGTTAATTACATATTAGAAGTTGTATTACACATCCTATTGGCCCACCACTCATGAGAGTAACCGTGGAGGTCAGGTGCGCTGTCACATGGGTGGCAGTGAAGGTCAGAAGCCTTCACAGTCTAGAACCGGACAGCAGAAGCCAGCTCTGGGGTTGTGGGACGCCTACGGCTTGTGGGGGGCAAAACTCTGACTGCTGTCTGTACATGTGCACCGAACAGCAGTTTGGAGTATTTGGCCTTCTTGGAGACCCTGAATGGAGTCCTGCATGTGCCCCAGTAGGGGACTCCATAGTTCTGCTGAGAGCCCTAAACGCAAATGTGGGAAATGTTGGAAAGACCTGGAGAGGCATGATTGGGAGAAACAGCCTCCCTTCTGTGCTAATCATGGATTATCTATAACACCCTAGACCAAAGGTCAATGAACGATTTTGTGATCATGTTGTCTGATCTGAGGCCGCATGTTTTGGACACTTGGGTATAGAGAGGGGTGGGGCTGTTTCTGGTTGGGGGGGAAGGGGAAGACTCTGGGCAGACCTGGTAAGGCCAAATGGGTAGTGCGGGTGAAATGGTAATGTCTGGGGGAGGCCCCCGTACAAGAGATCTTCAACTCCCACTTCCGACAGAGCTTTTCTGGCATCCCTCTCGAGGTTTGGAGAATTGAACCCACGTGAGCTATATTCAAAGCTTCCATTGATTAAGCTGCCGCGGACAGCTGTGGTTTCATGTTATTAGGTGCCTCAAGCGGTGGTAACACTGTGGTGGACACTTGTGGTCAGGGAAGCCGTCCCACTTAAGAATGAAGCCTTTCTGGATTTGTTATCCTGGAGGACTCCGGAGGCAGTTGCAAGGTACCGATGGGCTCCGAAGGGCTGCTGCTTCTGCTGTGAAAGAGGCAAAGCAGTGGGTGTAGGAGAAGTTCGGAGAAGCCATTTAGAAGGACTTTCAGTCCATCTGCCGGTTGGAGGAAATGGGGAACCATCCAAGCTGTGTACAGCAAAGGTTGGAGGCTGCTGACCTCCACTGAGGAGGTTCTCGGGCAATGGAAGAAACACTTTTTGAGGAACCGCTAAATCCTAATATGCCCTCTATGATAGAGGCAGAGCTGGATGCTGATGGAGGATCATCGTCAATTTCCCTGGTGGAAGTTACTGAGGTAGTCAAACAAGTCTGGATGTGGAGGGGATGTCGTTGTCGATGACAAGCCTCTGTAAGATTGTGTGGAAGTCTGGGATAGTGCCCAAGGAGTGGCAGACCAGGTTGGTCGGACCAGAGAGAGTGTGTGCCAGTTACAGGGGTACCACAAGTCTCAGCCTCTCTGGTAAAGTCTACTCCAAGGTGCTATAGAGGAGGGTTCGGCTGATAGTCGGAAACCACGAGCCAGCTCCAGTGTTTCTGGATTTTGCAAACTATGGTGGAGCTCAGTTCCTCTTAACAGGACGGTAGCTCCCCTTATGGATCATGCGTAAATGCTATGCGTTTGTGCTTTAACCAATTACTTTCATGATCAGAGAGGCTGCTGTCAGTCCATCCTGACCGATCCTGTCAGAGTGTCGGGAGATTCACATCTTACTGTCAGAATAATGTGCCCATTAAATAGTAGTGAAAGTAACTCAAAAGTAATGCAACAGTAGTGTAAACCATTACAATTAAGAGACAGTAATACTGTAATATACTCTCAAATGACAGTAACTAGTAATCTATCATTTATAACATTTTCGAAGTAACTTGCCCAACACTGGTTATCACTATATTGATATATATGTAGGATTCCAGTGAATTTACATTGTTGTATCAATATACATTGATTACTGAAGGATTATAGATTTACTGGTGTCAGAATGAGGAAAGAAGTGAATGTCTGAAAAACTATTTTCAGGTCTCAGTGAGCTGCGAGTCAAAGATGTCACCTATTTAGTGTCTGACCAACTGTGAAATCACAATCTACCCTTCTGTTCCTGTAAAAAATGTCATCACTTCATCGTTATATCCCATTAAACATCTATGTGGAATTTTGTCATAATTACTGCATCCATTCCTGACCAATGGTGTGTCAAGGTCATTCTGAGGTCACAGTGACCTTGACTTTTGAGTCAAAAGTTTTACCAATTCATTGTATGACCAGGTGTGAAATATGGTCATTAATTCTTTCAAAGAACCATGGTCAAAAACTTGACCTTTGACAATCAACGTTTGTGCAAAGAATGTGAAGAAGTTCCCTCAAGGCATGGACAACAGGCCAGCACAGAGACAGCCCCAAATACATGTTAGCTGCAGCTGTGAAAGTATAAATACAAGATCGGGGATTATTCTTAAAGGCACTTCTACTGAATAACACCATAGCTGTGATTAAGACAGAAGAATACTGATGGTACTGACCGTTGAGGCTTGTGGGGGTGTGTGACCTCAGTGTCCTGGCCGAGGCAGGAGCGCTCAGCAGCATCTGTGTGTTTTCAGGTCTGCAACTCTTTTTCAATGAGTGTTTGCGCCGAGTACTGTGTGTGTGTTTTGCAGTTTCTGTGTATTCGGAGTTCAGCAGCGACAGCGTATTTAGTGTTTTATGTGAGCGCAGTGTCCTGGTTGAGGCAGAATTCTTGTGTGTATTTTGTGGTGGGTGATTAATCTTTCCTGTGCACAGTTTTGATTGCGTTTGCATGTTCTGTAGTGTGTGGGTACATTTATGTTTTGGTGTGTATGAGTCCTGAGACAAGTTCATTTCTTGCCCTTTTTTGGTGTCTTCACGAGGGCATAGGTGTTTTGAAACGTGCATATTTTGTTCACCGGGCGTGTTTCTCTTTGCATGTGTGTTTGTTGCTCTTTGTGTGACTCTTTGTTGTGGCATGTGCACACTCTGTCTTGTGCGTGTGTATTTTTGTGTGTGTGTGTTAGGTAGTGTCCGTGTCTTTCGCGGAGCATGTAAGAGATTATTTTTCAACATGCATTTGTGTGCGCGCACGCGTGTGTGTGTCTTGTTTGTGGCACGATGGTTGTCTCTGAATTCCCTGAGGGAGAGGAAAAGAACTTTGCGGATCAGACGTTCTTCACACCACGGCATTCCGTCGCTGATATCCTGCAGAGTCACAGAGACAAACGCCATCAGCTTTGCTGACTCTACCAGCTGAAAATCTTTCTCTCAAATTACATGAATTCCACCAAACACTGATGATCATACTACAGTAAAATGTTAGTATGAAAATAAAAGAGAAAAATAAAGGAATAGAAAATTCCATGTATGGTTCGTTCTTTCATTATTTCATTTCAAAACCAAATCAAATTTTTTTGTTTTAAAACGGAAAAACAGATAAACAGAAAATAAAAAAACAGATATCCGTTTTTGTTTTTCTGTTTTAAAACCAAAACGGAAAAATATTGATTTTGATATTTAATGAGTCCGATTTGAGTAGCTTTATGTTACACTTGGTAAACTGCAGCAGATCCACTTAGGCGATGGCAGTGCCTGATTAAATGTAATGAAAATGAGCTTAAACATCAACATAAGTGGCAATGTTGTGACAATATGACAATATTATATAGCTGCGACCTGAAAAGAAATAGCCTTATATACCGTAAAATTAAATATAAAATATTTAGCCTAATGTTGACATTTTGTTTCACGGGATAGGCAAACACAAGTCTCAAAGGTCCTGGCCCTCTTTTCACCCCAACCATGTTCTAACTCAGTCTTTTCTGTTAAATAGCCTATCACATAGCCTACCTTCCTTTACGGTCACAAACTGAGCTAAAGCTTGAACATCAGTTTTATATTGCGTTGACCTATGACGCTCTAGGGGTCCCCAGTGCGTTACAAACGGCGATAGGCCTTGACCATGGGTCCATATGTGACAAGTCGGGGAGTGAGAACAGGTTGTAGGCATGGTGCGAACTAGGGGGGAGCTTAGCTCACCTTAATAAGACATCAGCTCCCCCCAAAGTATGATTTGTGATATCTTGGGAGGTATGTAAAATATTTACAGCATGCTCTATTAATTTCTCTATCATCATGGATCCCCCACTCCTTCTCCAGTATGGGTTGTGTCGTTACAAACGACACGCTGTGAACGGTTTGCGATCGTTCCCTCTGGCTGGATGAATATTACACGTGATCCATGCACTACTGCAGCTGGGGGCTCTCCACAGCGTCACGCAACTTTCTAAATTCTTCCCTCTCAAGGAGAACAGAAAGGTCAGGTCGCAAACACAGCCGCAGTGGAGAAGCGTAATTGTAGCAAAATGGCTACATATGATAATAATAATAATTATAATAATAAAAAGACCTGGCTGAGCTCATTTATTTTCAGTTATGGGTTTGTTTGTTTTTTTGTTTACCGTTTTTCCATTTTGGTTTTAATACAGAAAAAACAAAAAAACGACTTGGTTTTGAAAATAAATAATGAAAGAATGAACCATATACGGATTGAGAAATTGACAAGAGTTGATATTTGCAGTTTTGTCTGGCTGTCTAACGGCCTCCAAAAGCCCCTTTCAGCATTCATCTGACATTTTTAGTAAATTTCCAACCCTAACACACTTTGTGGAATGATTGGTCAGGTTTGTGGAGGTGTCAAAGTAGCCGGGGTTCAGCTTCTCTGCCAATTCATTCTTCATACAACTACACTGAGCAAAATTATAAACGCGACACTTTTGTTTTTGCCCCCATTCATCATGAGCTGAACTCAAAGATCTAAGACTTTCTCTATGTAGACAAAAGGCCTATTTATCTCAAATATTGTTCACAAATCTGTCAAAATCTGTGTTAGTGAGCTTCTCCTTTGCCGAGATAATCCATCCACCTCACAGGTGTGGCATATCAAGATGCTGATCAGACAGCAAGGCTATTGCACAGGTGTGCCTTAGGCTGGCCACAATAAAAGGCCACTCAAAAAACGTGCAGTTTCACTGTATTGGGAGGGGCGGAAACCAGTCAGTATCTGGTGTCGCTGTCTGCCATCTGCCCTGTACAGAGAAAACCGAGATTCATCCGTAAAGAGAACACCTCTCGAAAGAGCCAGACTCCATCGAATGTGAGCATTTGCCCACTCAAGTCGGTTAAATCAACAAACTGCAGTCAGGTCGAGACCCCAATGAGGACGACGATTATGCAGTTGAGCTTCCCTGAGACGGTTCCTGACAGTTTGTGCAGAAATTCTTTGGTTATGCAAACCGATTGTTGCAGCAGCTGTCCGGGTGGCTGGTCTCTGACAATCTTGGTGAAGATGCTGGTTGTGGAGGTCCTGAGCTGGTGTGGTTACACGTGGTCTGCAGTTGTGAGGCCGGTTGGATGTACTGTCAAATTCTCTGAAACGCCTTTGGAGATGACTTATGGTAGAGAAATGAACATTCAATTGACGGGCAACAGCTCTGGTGGACATTCCTGCAGTCAGCATGCCAACTGCACGCTCCCTCAAAACTTGCAACATCTGTGGCGTTGTGCTGTGTGATGGAACTGCACATTTTGGAGTGGCCTTTTATTGTGGCCAGCCTAAGACTAACACAGATTGACAGATTTGTGAACAATATTTGAGAGAAATAAGCCTATTGTGTACACAGATAATTTTGTTCAGTGTACTTGCCTTTGAGGAGGGACTGTCTATTTATGCGAATGGCTGCATTGCAATGCAGAAAAGAAAGACATACAATAGACTCAATCAAGGATGCATCCAGGAGGAGGCTGTGACAGCAAGTTTGTCACCTCACCTTCAAATGTGGCCATTCAGAATGGATACAACCACATTTGACTTTAGATCAATGTCCTAACAACAAAGATTCATTGTTCATTACACACTATCAACATGTATATAATGGTGACAATGGTAAACTTTACATGCTAAACATCATCTTATTGTAATTGGGAGCATCTTAACATTTAAGATTTAAGCATTTAAGCACAGATTTGGTAGCATGTCTGTAGACGCTTATGAAAAAAAGCTTGTTTATGTGATCTTGTTCAAACAGAAATATTGTCCAAAATATTATTGGATTTTAATACCCCACTTACATTCATACACATCATGCGTCTTTGGGAGATCAGGTGGCTAAATATAAATGCAACCAAGAAACATCAGAGAGACTGCATATGGATAAAATAAATACGGAACACAGAAACCAGGGGCCAGATGTATATTCAGATTTAAAGACATACTGTGCATACACGTTGTTTTTCTCAGAATTATAAAGCATGGTTCAGTTTTATAAATCTCAAAGATTCTAGAAGCCTCCTTTCCACTCCACTAAACTGCATTGCTGGCTTTAAACGTCGAATAATACCCAGAATATAGGAAAGATGTTTGAAAGTAGTTTCGAGCTGAAAATATGAATTAGATTATTAGAAGGCTGCTGACGACAGGTTTTTGTCAAAAGTCATACACCATGGTAAGACTGAGCACAGCAGCAAGACACAAGGTAGTTATACTGCATCAGCAAGCTCTTCTAAAGAAGCACAAAAGAACAGGCAGCACTGAGGACCGTAGATGCAATGGTCGACCAAAGGAACTGATTGCAGCAGATTAAAGACACATCATGTTTACTTTTTGGTTCTGGCCCATTTGAGACTTCAGGTGACCACTGAGGTTGGTGTGGAGGATTCTATCATCTACCTGCTTCAGCAACCTCACTCGCACCTGGATAAAGCTGGCAGCATTGTTTGGATCTTGTTATTTGATTTCTCCAGTTCTTTTAACATGATCCAGAGGATGCAGGCGGACACCTCCACAACTTCCTGGATTAATGATTACCTGACAGACAGACCACAGTTTGTGTGACTGCGGGGTGGTGTGTCTGAACAGGCGGTCAGCAGCACAGGAGCACCACACGGGACTGTACTCTCACCATTCCTATTCACGCTGTACACCTCAGACTTCCAGCACAACTCAGAGTCCTGTCATCTACAGAAACACTCGGACGATATTGCAGTTGTGTGCTGTATCTGTGGTGGAGATGAGACTGAGTACAGGGATTTGTGTTGTGGTGTGGGAGCTACCACCTCCTCCTAAAAATGATCAAGACAAAGGAGATGGCGGAGGTCCAGGACAACAACACTAAACACCATTCACATTCTGGGAGAGGAGGTGGAGAATTAATACCTGGGTGTACACCTTGACAACAGACTGGACTGGAAATTACAACACCTTATTCAGGAAAGGCCAGAGCTTACTCTACGTCTTGAGGAAACTTAAGTCCTTTAATGTATGCAGCAAGATGTTGTATATGTTCTATCAGTCTGTTGTGGAAAGCAGCCATCTGCTGGGGCAGCAGCATCAGAGCCAGTGACAGCATGAGACTCAACAAGCTAATAAAGACGGCTGGCTCTGTCTGCTCTGGAGCCCCTGGAGTTGGTTGTGGAAATAAGAATGTTACATAAACTGTTTAACATCATGGACAACACTTCACATCCGCTGCACACGAGTGCATTCAGTTAGAGACTTCTACTACTCCGATGTAGCAAGGACCATTTAAGAAAGTCATTTCTACCCACTGCCATGACAATCCATAAAAACTTAGCTAACCGTTAGCTAACGATACATTTACACAAAAGGTCATAAAACATTACAACCCGAGTAGCTAGCTTTTTCCAGTAAAATAATGCATGTTACTAACACAACTTCTCCCCTTTCCAGTAGTCTTGTGCTTTCTCGTCCCTCTCCTCTCTCCTCCTATCACTTCCTGCAGGTGTTTCTGGTTCTGGAGCTGTGGAGTCTGGATCTGTGGTTGCGGGTCACCTGCTGCCCCCGTGTTTCTGCTCGACACCCTCTGCTGCAACGACTATTACTGTTACTAGTCCTATTGTTATTATAATCATTAACATTATGATTGTTATCATTAACACTACTAAAAATATCTGTACCATTTTTCAGTTAGTCTATAGCAACATCACCTTTACTGTCTGTACCTCTCAGCCATGGTTCTGCTTGAGGTTTCTGCCTCTTAAAAGGAAGTTTTTCCTTGCCTCTGTCGCCTAGTGCTGCTCTTGGTGGGAACTGTTGAGTACCGTCTAGACCTGCTCTTTTATGAAAAGCGCTATGCTGTTGTTGTGATTTGGTGCTATATAAATAAAATTGAATTGAACATAACGCT